TGTTGATAATTTTCTTTTAGTATTTCGAAATAATTTGTCTATTATACTAATCAATAGTTTTTAGATTTCTATCGCAAGGTTACACTTTCATAAATATGTGACAATGTCAAATGTAGTAATTTATGAATTTTTTGATCTATAACTGGCTAAAACTAAATTTACACTTTCATGTTATATTAATTTTTAAGTTATAACTGCATTGATGTGTTAAATAAAAATTAATGTAGGGAAAATTTATGTGGTCAAAAATCAAGTTAAGCAGTGATCGTCGCTTCAAAATAATCGCGCAACATATGAAAATTTTTACTCGTTCATTGTTTCAAATTGCAAGGAATATATATGTTATGTAACAATCTTTTCAATTATTGTAAATATTATAATTTAATTATTATAAATTAATTGTTCAAACTATGAAATAATGTTTGGAAGTTCAATCACTGATTGAATTGCTATAAATAAATAGTTAATTTGTTAAATAATATACAAAAATATCGTCGAAATGCATTATTTTACAATTTGAATAATTCATTTGAAACAATTAAATTATTTTATTTCTACAAATATTTCTAGACACTATTTTATAATTTTCACAATTTTCATATTACGATTAAATAATTAAATTAATCATTTCATTCAATAAGTCAACGTCATTTCTCTTAAATATTGTTCAAGATTCTTATAAATTATTAATTAAATATTTTAAATAACATTTAGAAATATTACAGAAGAGAATTTATTGTTTGATTGTTGCAAATAAATTATTGAAAATATTATATAATGTTTAAACAATTAGGATATTCAGAAATATTATTTAAAAATTCACTTCAAATGTTTAATCGATGTACACACGATGAAGGTTCAACTTATAATGACCTTTTTCGCTGCTCGACCGTCAGATAAAGGTAAAGTCAGCGATGCACAACAGGTGGTAGTCTTTGTCATTACTTCCAAAAACGCTATTTCTATTACAGTAATCAATAGTTTTACAGTTTTTATGTTTTATTTAGTTAAAATTTTTCAATTTATATTGTTTTATAGCCATTAACCTTAGGCAACAATAAATACTGTAATTTTAGAGGTGTGCGAGAACCCGAAAATATCGGGAACCCGATAGTCGGGACGAAGAGATCGAGTCGAGTCGGGTTGAATTTCTGAAAATTTCGAGATTCCCGAAGGAATCGGGTTTCCCGAAAAAGTCGAGATTCCTGAAAATTTCGAGAACCCGGCTACCGTTTCTCGAACTACTCTACAATGCTGTATAGCAGATTGCAAAATATGTAAATACTGTTCAATTTCTTCTGCCAGTGAAGTCATTGAAAACACGGATTCTAAGAATCGTGTGACCTGATGTAAACGAACGTGTGAGCACTGCGTGCTTAGTATTTGGACATTATGTACGCTGTTGAGCAGTATCGCTGAGAAATTCGGGAAGCTCAGACGTGTATTTCAAAATCTGTGTAAATTTAATAAAGATTAAAAATCTTTAAAAAATATGTCGAGTGATAGTGAGAGTAAAGTTATGGTAGCAGAAAATATCGTGTAAAGGAGGAAGGTAGAAAGAAGCTCTGTTTGGGAACATTTTCAGGGAAAAGATGATACAAAGGCTGAATGCATACATTGTCACCATGAATTTAAAACTAAGTATGCAAATACGCTACTGGTTTATTACGCCATTTGAAGCATATGCATCCAAACATAAGTACATGTACTAGAAAAGAAACTGAATCGATATAAAATTCGCATGTACAAAATGATACGCGAAAGATTGTTAAACCAAAAAATATAACAGAAGGAATTGCTCGAATGATAATTGTAGATCTGCGACCATTCGATATAGTTGAAAATGTGGGCTTTAACGAATTATTTATTCTTGTTACCAATCCTTTCCCGAATCCCAATTCTTTCGGAAATCCCGATTCTTTCGAGAATCCAGTTAAATCTGAGTTACTCTCAACACGTGTCAAAAATGACTTCGGCACGGTAGGCGAAGGGTTAAATAATTTATGCATTTTCTCCCTCTCTCTTTCGAGAAAAAGAGAGAGAGAGAGAGAGAAAGAAAGGGAGAACCGCAGTCGGAAGAAAAAGGGACCGCGAGTGGAAATCGTTCTTCGTTTCTTTCGTTCCCGTTCGTTCCGCGTCTCAATGCGTATCGCTTTGTACAGCACGAAATAATTGGACGTGGACTAATCCTCTCGCGTAACAAAGGGAAGGAATCAAAGCGGCGAACTGTTGTAACGACGTCGAACCGTTTCTTTTGAAAAGAGGGAAAAACAGATGTACGCGCGCCTAGCGTACAGCAGTGGAATGCTTCTCTATGCCCTCTAGACGCGTGCTAGTTTGTCTTCCTATCTTTCATTCATTTCCCCAATTCGTCCCTTCCCTCCCCTTGCTTCCTCCTTTCGATTTATTACGCCGGGCAAAGCGGACGGTTTGGAAAACGTACGTTTACACACGCGGCCGAGAAAAAGAATTCGAGGAGAAGAGAGAGAGACGGTCGATCCACTGGCGTCAGGCCAAACGATTCCGCGGGAAAATTCGATCGTGCAATAATTCCGAAGTTCCGAAATAGTTTGCAAAATGGCCGGTGTTAAATTTTTGGCAGTCATCAGTAGCCGTAAGTCAATATTCAGCGAACGATTCGGGCTCGGAGTGAAACGCGTGCCGAGTTTTATTTTTCAAACGAGCGCAACAATGAAGCGGGCGTTTCGCGCGGCTCCAAACGGTAATATCGCATCACCGTTTTCATAGAGCGCCAGAGAGATCCCCCAGCTGTATACGTGCGGCTGGCAAACTTCCATTTTATTTATACCCGCTTTAGCGCGTTTACAGGGCCGGCAATCACGGTACGGTAAATAATGTCTTCCTGTCGAATTACCCGATCGCAAATCGCATTGCGCCGCGTTGCACGGTACGCTCTGTTTCCTATCGTCGGGATTCGCTGCGTTTCCACGCGTTTCCACATACCGAGGAAAATAAAATCCATGGCGAGCGAATTTTGTCGAATCCGAAAATCGTCCTCGTTTGACAGCCAGCTCACTGAATTTAACGAGAGCGTCGAAGACAACGTGTTTCGAAGACTAAGAGTAATAAAGATCCTCGGTGTTTTATATTCGTCGACGTCAAGTTCCACGGACGAACGCGTAATTGCAACACGAGGCACGCGTAACGTAAGAAGGAACAATTATCCGAGCGTTTCCCTGACAACCGTACGCCGTAACGACAACTGTACACTCGACTCGTACTACTACGTGCGTCTGATCACTAGGACACAAACCACTTCGAACCTCATCAAAGCTGCACGCGCGTTAAAGCCAGCCGGATTGAACGCGCCGAATGTCCCTTGCTGCCAAACGCCTGTTTAGTTAGTCTCAAAAATCAACGAAACACTCGAGAAAAGAAAAGAAAAAAAATGAAAAGAAACACGAGCATCCTGTCGATTCGTAACAAACCAATGTTCCCTTGAGTCTAGCCAACGTTTCATCGATACGGTCCCTGCGATATCGAGGCGTGTACACGTCAAAGTAGGAACCAAAATTGACTCGCAAATTGAACATTGACGCTCGGCGAGTAACACACCGATGTTGAGGGGGTGAAACACACAGGGCGAGGGGGAGAGAACGGTGCAGCAGCTTCCGGGCGATATCGTGCGACGGTATGGTGCGAAGTTTTCGATAATTGGCCAGGGCTGGGTGAATGACAACGAACTGGCCAGAACCCCCTCGCCGCCCCCCCCCCTTGCCACCCCCTCGTAGAATAATACGCGGCCTGCAAAACGGGGCGTGGCATCCAGCAATACGGCATCCTGATTTACGCCGTTGAGCAAACAGCCGCGCAGCTCTGTGCAGCTCGGTTATTGTCGGCTCTATAATTTGGGGTTAATTCACTAGGCGGCACTCGAGTTCAGGCGTCAAACCACAGATCGATAGTTCTGCCCGCGTACGGGTCTTGTCATGTAAATGTTGCGTGCATAATACCCCGCCTTGCGGCCAGCCAGGATCATTTCCAACGGAACGTACGCGCCGCCTCCTTGTGTGTGCGTGACCCCAGACACCCAGGGACCACCTGAGCCAGGTGCAACCGCGCCAATATTCAACCGGCGCAGCTACCTGCTCGTTAGCTGACCCACTGCCAATTTCCCAGCCGATGCGCCAACTTTGAGATTCGAATGAACTCTAGCTGGGATACGGTTAACGTCATAACGGCAACGCGCTGCGTTCTAGCGTGTAGCCTCTCGTTCGAATGAATGGCACTGGGATGAACGGGTATCGAGGTTAGGGAAATGAAGGCGCATCGGGACAGGGAAGTGGGGCTCGTTGGACCGAAATTGTCGGTGATAATTCGTGTTTTATACCGTAGCACACGCTTGTTTGACACGCTACGTACAGCTGTCTCTCGTGATAGAGTGGAGAGCGGTGCAGTCGCAAGAAGCAACGAACGCGATTGGGTTGGCCGAACTCTCTCGAATAATTCCCGCGCATTTAGCTGTTTATAGCGTGCACCAGCCCCGCTTGAATTATTTCGAAATCTGGATGTATTCTGGGCAAATTCCGGCGCAATCGATTCACCTGGTGAAATTGAAACACGCCGGCCCGTCGGGGTAATGTTGCTGGATGCGTTATTTAGTTTTCGGTACCGTTTCACTGGGAGAGGCTCGGGTAACCTCCCGATTCGCCCACTTTCGATACGATCAATTACGATCCCACTTTCCATAGAACGAAGAGAGAAAGATGGGAGGGAAAGAACGCGATTCCCCCCCCCCTCTCTCTCTCTTTTCTCTTCTACCGAAAGTTGGACGAGTTTTTCGAGAGAACATGTTGGCGGGCGATGTTTCAAAGCCACGTGCAAGAAAATTTTATTCCACGCTGCCGTTCACCCTTCGACCCGCTTTAACGCCCATTACCGGCGACGTCGTTTGCATAATTATAAAAACTACTCGTCGGCGCGTTTCGCCGCGGCGACGATCGAGAAGCGTTTAAAAACTTTAATGGTGGCCTCTTCAGACGCGGCGCCGCAGCTTCTGTACAAATTCATCGAACAGACCATCCAGCCTGGCCCCTCGGTGTCGCTCAAGTGCATCGCCACCGGGAACCCGACGCCGCACTTCTCCTGGACACTGGACGGATTTCCTCTTCCGCAAAACGACAGGTAACAGCCATCCTTTTGTTTTCTCTGTTTCTCTTTTCTTTCCTTTTTTCTCCGTGCACTCGCTCTTACACCTCGACGAGGAGAAACGAAGTATCAAAGGAATCGTCGAACGCGTCGAAACGGAAAAAAAGCTGAAAACTGTCGGAGGGAATTCGAGAGAAATATTTTCCCCCTTTTACTCTTTTTTTTACCTCCCCTCCCCTCCCGAGAGATCAAAAATCAACGTGGATAGTGTATACACAATTATTTTCGGTTATTAAACCGCAGCTATTACGGTCGGACGGGAAATCAGACCGGCTACCGACCGTTTATAACGGCGAATCCCGGTGGGTACGGATACCTCCCCGCGGGCTTCGATTCTCTGAACCAATTGAGGGGAAAATTACCAATCAACCGGCGTTCAGTCTAAACTTTTTAGAGTTGCTCGATTTAGAATGATAGATTTGACGGGACCGCGTGCAGGCTATTAATAATGTAACGCCGCTCGTGTTGTTTTCCCTTTTGTTTTATAACCGGTCGGCACGGTTGATTTACGGTGCTAAGCGACTCGTGATCGAACCGATAATAATTTCGTTGGAGGGAACAAACGACGGTGAACGGCTCTTTCGTCCGCCTTTTGATTTTCCACCGTGTGATCCGATAAACCGTGGAACATATTAAATAACACGGTGGAGGGAAGGAGGGATGATCTGCGAAAGCGGCGTTTGAGTCTTATTATCCACGTTTCTCGGTGATTCGAGGATGCGAGAGTCGGGACGCAAAGTTTCGATTGGGTTTCGTTGGCCAAACTTTGTTTCCTCGGTGGGGAATTCACGCGAAGTTGGATTTATCTAAATATCGGTGTCGGCTTCGCCGAGTTGGGAAAAAAAGAGTTACAACTTTTTGTCTATTTGCAAATAAAATGCCGCCCGGAGTTGAAACGATGAAAATTAGATCAAACTACATTGTCCACTGTCCACTCGGAAAATTGCACGGCCCGGAAATTTTCTTTCTTTCTTTTTTTCCCTTGCTGACACGCTGAAACGAGAGATCGCCAGAGGATTGCCATTGCGAAGCGCGTAACATTACGTAACGTGAGGAATTTCTAATGCTTGGCCCGCAGGTTCATGATAGGCCAGTATGTGACGGTGCACGGTGACGTAATATCGCACGTGAACATCAGCGTGGTACATGTGGAGGACGGCGGAGAATATCGGTGCACGGCGGCGAACCGGATGGCAAAGGTGCACCATTCGGCCCGTCTCAACATTTACGGTCTGCCCCATGTACGACCGATGGGAAACTATGCCGCAGTGGCTGGCGAAACCACCGTTATCAAATGTCCGGCCGCTGGTTTCCCAATCGCAAGCATCACTTGGGAGAAAGGTCAGTGTTCTCTAGCCTCTCAACCGTGCAGCCAGTAAAGAACTATATATGTATGTATGTGTAATCGGTTCGATCGCTGAATAATTCAAAACTTTCGTCGATCCTTGTAATAACGTAGCCGGTATACCCGGACTGGCAAGGTAGCCAGAATTATAAATTACGGTAAAACTCTTTATAGAGATTTACGTTACGATTTTTATAAATCGACAAGTGCCTAATCCGTATTGAATAGTACTTATTTTCATGCTATTACAAAAAATCAGTAATAGCGATCAATGCGTTTCCATTATATAAATTGTAATAATATGAATTATTTGATGTTTTACTGTAAAAAATTGGATTGGAAATTTCAAATTTTTCATCAATATTTCCTTGTCTTCCAAAGTCTTTATACATTTCTCTTTTTTCTCGTTTTACGTTTCACTTTTAGTTGATTATATTGCAAGTGTTATTTTATAAATCAAGAATGGCATCAGTTTCGAGCAGGCATAAAATACTCAACGCATTTATACAAAATATAACGAAGCATTTCGCGCGAACCATTTGTTCATGAAAGCGGCATCGCGTCACCGAGTAAGTAACAGGTGAGAAATAGTTTACTTATACTACACCGCCACCGATTCCAAACGATCTTATTCCTGCGATCTACACCGTTTTTTCTTTTTTTTTTTTTCTTTTTTTTTTAACGTTTCTCGTTGTCTTTCCCGAATCGTGTGTTGCAACGTCGTTACGTCGCGAGGTTTTATCCTCTTTGACTTGGTCGCCGCCGCGTAGAAAATAAAGATTAAAGTGGGAATTGAAACGTTCGCGACGCATAAAGTCGCCGTAAATAAGTTACCGCTCGCGTCCGGCGTTCCCTCGTAAATTCGCCTGGCAAGGAAACGAATGAAATTTCACAGAAACTGAAAGTACCGTCGGTTTTTCGAGCGGTTTAAATGAACTTTTTGCCAAGCGCAAGTTGTACTGGCGGAAAGAGACGATAGTGTGTGTGTGTGTGTGTGTGTGTGTGTGTGTGCGCGTGAGAAAAAGAGGAAAGGAAAGCTCGTCCGGTTTTATTTCGTCGACCGGAGAAACTCTAGGCTGACGCCGCCATTCGAACGCGAAACGACCAAGTTCGAGCGTTTCTTTTCTGGTAATGATGAACCGAAACTTCTGGAAAAGTTTCAAACGTTGCCCCCTTCCCCCTTCCTGCCCCCCCCTTCACCGCGTAACTTTCTCTCTTTCACGAGCGATCTAGCGTGACGTCGAGCGCGCAATACCACCCGTAACACTTTCAAAGTCGTCCCACTCCGCGGCTTCGAAAGCGCATTGAAAGCTCTACTACCGCGCTACCGTGGACGATTTTACGCGACAAGGCCAAGAAGTTCGAGTGTGGATAAAGTTGGTCGTTTATGCGCGCATCGCTAGATAGACTACTCGCGGTTGGTTGAGATTTATCTGGATGGACCGAAGAGCTCGCGAATGCCTCCGAAGTTCGAGTTGCCGCGGGCATGTCAACGCGTGATACTTGAAAATCGTTTGGCTGATCAGGTACTTTTCGTTCCGCTTTTTTTTTTCTTCTTTTCTTTTAACGAAAAACTTGACTCAACGAGATAACGATAATAATAAAATAGGAATATCAGATGTTCACAACTCTTTCGCGAGAACTTTCTCCATTTTCTCACGCTTGTATCAAATTTTCATAATCGATACTTCGACACGGACATTCGTTCGATAAAGAAATCGAACGATGACTCGTTCTTATTCGTTGTTGCTCGAAGAAATTTCGTGAAAATTGCAGTAATTTTAGTAACGAATAATAACGTCACCTGTATATCTGTCTCGCCTGTCCCATCCTTTTTATATCCTGTTTCCGTTCTCGTTTGTCGACGAGACAAACAAAGAATCGTCTCGAATTCGATTGAAAATTGGCCCGTCGTACTGACGGAACGTTTCCTCGCTGGCTGCAGACGGGAAAGTGCTACCGACGAGTCGACGTCAAGAGGTGTTCTCGAACGGTACGCTGGTGCTGCATCACGTCGACAGAAGTACCGATCACGGTGCATACACGTGCACGGCGAAGAACAAACAAGGCCGCTCCGATTCCCAGACAGTTCACATCGAAGTGAAAGGTAAAGTTTCTTGCTTTCCCACTATGCTTTTTTAACTATTGTATGTTACCATTACGCCAGCGCCTGTGGCATTATTTATCTGCCTCGATTGGAATAACAGCGTCGCGTGTTTCGCCAGAGTTGATTCGCTCTGTTAGGAGTTTAGAGCTCGAGAAGGAAAGATCTCGCTTCCGGACGGAGCTCTCTCCTCTAATCGCCGACCAATCCCCGTAAAACGCTACGACGTCGAGTCTTTACGAGAGAAAGTCACTCGTCGAGGCGTTTCGTCTCTCGAAAGAACGACGTTCGAACGCGATCCATTATAGAATTGTCTCGACGAGTTTTTCGTTTGCTTTCATTTCGACTTAAGATAAAGAGTTGCATAAAATTGTTACGGTTGCTCGCGTGTTCGAACAATTTTTCGACAAGGGACTTCGTCGATGATTCGACATTGAAATTGCCGTCTACGTATGTATATCTCCGAAAAGAATTCTATTCGCCTCGATGCAAATGGGAATTCGCTTGCAACTCTTTGCGAATTAAAATGCGTTTTCTCCTTCGAGACGGGAATATACACTGGCGCGCGCTGTTGTTCCAATTAAAGCAAGGGGAGGAAATGAAATATCGATGTAAATTGTTTAACCGATTTGTTTGTATCCAGTTGTAGCGTCGAATCGACTGTGAAACTTTTCTTGGATAAATAACGGTTTCAGATCGACGATTTTTCCGCAGCGTTCGGGCGTTTTCTCAGGTAGGACGCAAGCGAGAACCGTGTCGTGAATCTCTTTAAGAAAAAAAAATGAAAAGAAGGAAAGAGAAAAACGAGTATCCAGAGACCGCGCGAAGCTGTCAGTAGTTACAGTACGCGTATAATCAGCCTCGCGTTACAACGATCGTTCGTTCAACTCGAGAGTCGAGAGGATAACGCCGACGTGGCGAAAAGAACGATCGTTTCATAAGAGGGGCGGAACGCATTGAAAACGTTGCTAGCGTCGAATCGAATCGCGGTCGTGCTTCAGAGAGGCTCGAAGAGAAAGAGACGAGCGATCGAAACTACGCGTCGATGAGGCATCGAACGATAACGACCGATGCGTACGCCTTTTGTCCTCTTTTCCATCGCGTTCTCGCGCGTTTACGGTTCCTTCGATCGCTTTACGAAAATTGAAAAAGGAAAAAAAAAGAAAAAATGAAATGAAAGGAGGAAAAAAAAAGTTTCTTTTCTTTCGATCCCCGGAACTGGTAGAGTACCATTGTCCGCGACGAGACTCGACAGACACAGAAGAGGAGCTGGTTATTGTCGTTGTGGGCCGTGATGAGATAAAAATATGTCGTGATCTCCTATAATTTTCAGTACCGCCTAAAATCGATCCGTTTAGCTTCCCTGTCAATATACAAGAAGGGGCGCGGGTGCACGTGGTCTGCGTGGTCAGCGAGGGCGATTCACCGCTGAAGATCACCTGGCTGAAGGACGGCAGGCCATTGAATTCCACGGAGACGACCACCCATCATATCGGCGAATACGATCTCACGTTGATGATACAGAGCGCGACCACGGCGAATAATGGCAACTATACGTGCGTCGCGAGCAACGATGCCGCCGAAACGTCTCGCACGGCATCCCTATTGGTCCATGGTACGCAAGGAGCCAGGGCACGGTTTTTTCATCCCCATTTCACTCTCTGATATCGATCCGACGACTTTTCCTCTCATTTACCGATCACGCGCCATCACCACCTGTACTCTCGCCTTCGAACGCTGTACGTCGATGCTGATAGATGATTACGGTGATTGCCGTTTCCTTTATTTTCTTTCTATTTCTTTCTTTTTCTTCTTGCGTCACGTTACATCGTCGAGGAAGATCGATCGTCGAGGTGTAATTAAGGTTAAGAAGTCGTTTCGATTCCGGGTTTTAAATATCGGAGATATTTGGAAGTTTCGTCACCGTGATCATTGGGAGGAGGCATCGCGTACAATCATCGGTGATTGAAAAGTTCACGGGTGACGCGGTCCGCGAAGCGCGGCGAAGCGTTTTTCGCTCGTCAGTCGACAACTTTTCAACAGCCGCGCGAACTCATTCACTCCTCCCCGGCCCTCCCTCTCTCACTTTCTCTACAAATGTCTCTTTTCTCTCTCTCTCTCTCTCTCTCTCTCTCTCTCTCTCTCTCTCTCTCTCTTTCTCTCTTTCTAGGGTCACCAATTTCAGCCACGATCGTCTTTTATTTCCAACTCCCCCCAGTTCCGACAACTCGGTTAGGAAATTTTCGTTCAGTTCACAGCCTGTCTCCCATTTAAAACAGCCAACGAACACGCCGACGTATGATTTCACGCTCTATTTTCCTCTGTTTCTGTTCTACCATCCGACCGCCACGCCGTTCGCGACTTCATCTTTCTCTCTCTCTCTCTCTCTCTCTCTCTCTCTCTTACCCTTTCTCTCGTCTCTCTTTCCACCCTTAGCGGGATAAATTCCGCAATTGCCGTTGACGAGGGACGCGGAATGGCCGTGAAACGGCCAGGAAAAAACGAAGGAAAAAGTGTACCCTCGCATCTCGTCGATATTAATCGTCACGCGGCACTCGACAGCAGAACCTCTCGACCGGTTGGAAACTCCGGATGTAAAGCACGCAAGATCAATCGTTGCCACTCTTCATCCCCCGGGCGAGGATTCTGCCTCCCCCTTTTTTTCTTTCTTTCTTTCTGTTTTTTTTTCTTTCTTTCTTCGTTTTTTTTTTTACTCCCTCCTCCACCCCCTTCCGTCGCTCTTTCCACGCTCGTTTGCGTAACACACGCGAGCAAGCGAGTTTCCTCTCGCTCGCGCCTGCAGCCACGGCTTTTTCTCGTTTTCGTCGTCTGTCGACGGGGGCGACGGTGGCGGTCGACATTAAAAAAAAAAAAGAAAAAAGAAAAAAGAAAAAGAGAAAGAGGAACCCACCAGCACGAGCATCATCTTTGGAATTCTCTCTCTCGACGAACAAATCAGTGCAAGCGGAACGAACGAACGAACGAACGAACGAAACTGTTGGCCGACGTTACGAAACGAACGGCCTGAGGGTGATTTTAACGCGTCGTCCCGTCGTCGTGACGAGCGCCGAGCCGAAACAGCATCCTCTCGGTTACGTGCGTGTCGTGACGCACCGTCCGTACACCGACTGTCACGATATAAATGATCAAACCGAGTATTTTCCTACTTCTTCTCTTCCAAGTGTCTGACTGTCTAGTCTCGCGACGCCAGACACGACCCGATATCGCATTTAATTCGTAGTTATATTTAACCCTCAAGCCGCGGGCAACGCGGAGTTCGTTCGAATTTCGATATTCCAATTATTTTAATTTCTCCTTGCATTCCGCTTAACCCTCGAGAGATATCAATTTCGTTGGTAACTTTATACAGAAAAATATGTAAAAATTTCTCGAGACTGGAAAGGGTTGAAAACTTAAAAATCTTTCAGCTCTTTCAATGTAATCCTTCTTTCCCTAAAAGAGAAAGAAAAAAAGAAAAAAAAATGAAAACGGACCCCAGCTTTTCCTTTGAAATCTACCAGAGCGCGCAAAGTCCGTCAAAAAATCCGGCGCAACCATCGGCCGGATGTTCATTATCAATCGTACATGTATACAAATTCGTTTTGGTTTTTCGTTTATCGAACTGTCGCGTTACACGTACACGTATGTACACACAGAGACACAGCGAGAGTCAGGTATGGAAAACGTAGATCAGTGTGCATCACGTGCACCTGCACGGCACAGGCCGGTGGCAATTCTTTGGGCATTACTCATGTAACGTTGCCTGCTATCTGCCGCCAACCCCCGGCTACAGTTTCTCAATTATTCTCAAACAACCGCCACCGTTCTGTTCTAATACCTCCGGGGCACTGAATATCCCCCGTGCTTGCCGCCTGTACGTCTCTCGCCGCGCCGAGGCCAACGAGGCGAGTTATTATTGTCGTTCCGCGGCATTACGTCCGGCGAAAACCTGCCGGGTGAACAGTCGTGTTGTCCAGAGTCGGCTGGGTATTCGAGAAACGACGACGATTCCGTTTCCACGATGCCCGCCGATCCCGCTTCACCGGCGGGATTCTAGAATTTCAGAAGACCAGAAAAACTGCGGTGGAGGGAGGGGAGGGACGGACGAATAGAGAATTATGGTAATACCGTTGAAATCTGGCTGAAGGACAGACGCACTGATTTTACGTTTTAATAATGGAACGTACCGTGCCGGCGTAATTCGGTACGACGCGGATTTATAATCCAAAGAGCTTGGTGGGAGAGCTCGGTCCGGTACCGAGTTCGATCCGACAAAGAATCGAAATGGTGGAAAATTGAATTGTTCCACTCCGTCGAGATTAATTGCTGCGTTATCTTTGAGGAATTGTACTTTGTTTTTTTTTTTTTTCCTTTTTAGTAAAGAGCTAGTCTGACGTTAAAAGGAAAGAATTTAACTAAATAAAGGTGGAGGCTCGTGTATACATGTTTAAAGGGCAGACAAAGTTACTGCTGGTCCCGAAAACGATCGATTCAAGAAAGCTCGTATGTTTATTTTTAAAAAAACGATGAAATTTCGAAGGTTTGTTTAAAAAGAAAATAAAGTTAGTTTTCTACGACTAATGGAGACGATTAAGAATTTAGTCCTCCTAAATGGAGGATCCATATCCGACGATGCGAGGACAAAATTTCCAAGGTAGAAATTATTGGACGGCGCTTCGATTAGGCCGGGAATGACGCTGAACGCCCTTTTAATAACCTTAACTAACAAATTGACGGACCGCTATTGATTCGCGAGATTACCGCGTGGAAACGCCCCCCTGTGACTTCGTCAATGTTAATATAATCCTATACGTATAATGGCGCACGTGTAATGACGCGCAGCCTAGTTGATAAGCAGCGTTGATGTTATCGCATTACGCCGGCTCGGAGACCATTACGGGCCAGCGTAATGCGAACAGCATCGTCCGTGACGATAAATTCGCCGAACGATAGATTCGATCTGCCTTTAGTAATCCAATAGACACGAAAGAAACGTATATAGTCTTTCAAAGGACGTCGGAGAAGCTGACGTGTGCGGGATCACGCGCCGAGAAATCCTGTCTCGCACTTCTGTCTGTGTGCGTTTGACGTTTGCGTAACAACACCCTGTGCCAGATTACGAACCGGCAAACTTCGATAACGAGAGAAGGATTTGATCAGCCAGTATAGTACTCGGGATTCCACGTTATTAGAGATGAAATCTGTGTTCGAACGTGGATAGACGTTACAGCGAGCAGTAGGTGGAAGGATAATCCATGGGCTCGAGGCGCAATTGGCACGGCGGTGGAGGGAGGAGGAGGGGTTAACGTTTCCAAAATAGAAACGCCCGACTTTCAGACTGGTGACCGTGATCGATTCCCGAAGCAACTGCCGCGGTGTAAAACGGCTCGCGAAAAAAATCCATAGACGAGAGAGGAAAAAAGAAAAAAAGGAAAAGAGAAAGTTTCCACGTCACGCTACAGCTGCAACTTGCTACGAAGCGGAACGCGACATGGCGATCCTCCCCCTCCGATCCAGTTGTGTACCGCGATCTCCATCAATCGTGATATATCCGCAGCGTCGAACAGTTCGAAACCACGTATGCTAAACATTTTCGAGGCAACTGGACGCCCATCGATCATTCAACAGAGGAGGCGTGTCAACGGAAAGCAAACATCCCTGGAACTCTGCGACGAGAATCGAGAGGAACCAGGACCCATCGAGGGATGCTACGCTCGTACATATTATCTCTGAGCTCTCTCTCTCTCTCTCTCTCTTTCTCTCTCTATACGAAACTATTCCTCTCACGCAGCTTGAATCTCTTTCTTCTGTTTTTCTTCTGTGCAGTTCCACCCACGATAGCTCCCTTTAGCTTTAACAAGGACCTCTCGGAGGGGGTGCGTGCTCAGGTAACTTGCATGGTCGAGAAGGGCGATCCGCCGTTCACGATCGCCTGGTCCAAGGACGGCGAGCCGATCGCCGGGCCGAGCACATCTGGCTTCGGGAACACCGCGATAACAGGTCCGAGACACACGCAGATACCCGCTGGTCTACGCGTGACCAACATTGACGTCCATTCCAGTACCATAGTTATCGAGCGTGTGAGCGCCGCGCACTCCGGCAACTATACTTGCGTGGCGCGCAATTCGGTGGCCGAGGTCCTCTGGACGGCCGAGTTGATCGTTCGTGGTAAAGTAGACCGAGAGACAGCCCAGCCAACGGGACGAACCAAAAGCTCGTCCCCGTACAGCACACTCTGTCTGTTCTTCAAATGCCGTTCACTCACCGTCTCACCTTTCTGTTCGTCTTTTTTTTCTTTTCTTTTCTTGCACCTGGCAGCGCACCACTTATTACTCTCGATATATCTTCACTGTGCACCGGCTGATTCGTTCGACGACGGAACGTTCAATGGCCTTCTTTCGGATTCTATGCGTACACGTAGGAGTGAGAACGAATAATTTCGATAAATGATTGTACGAGATTCACCATTACACGGGATTTATATCGATGTATATTGAGTGAATGTAGCCAGTTCTAGGTAGCGACGTTTTAAAGATATCCGCTTTAAGTTCGAACCACGTTGTTAAATCAGAAGGTTTCTTTCTACCTATTTTTTTTTTTTTTTAACAAAACATCGAAACAGAAGAGAAAACTAACTTTATTAATTTTAAATTAAATTCAAGTTCACTTAGAAACTTAAATTTAATTTCAAATTAGTAAAATTAGATTTTTTCACTGTGTTTTAAAAATTGTTGAGAAACAATTTTTTTTAATATATAGTAAAAAGAAATTACAGACTTAATTTAGAAAATTAATTTTTGGCCTACTCTGTGCTATCACTTTTTCCGAACGAAGGCAAATGAGTATCTTTACGACGAGTTTGCGACACATCCTGGTGTTCAAGACGTTCGTGAGATATTACCAGAGACCGTTAAAACGTCCGTAAGGTGTCTTTGTGCCTGGAACGAAGACAGTCAAGTGCCCCGGGTGTATTTCACTATATATTCTGAATATTCATGAAGATACCGTTATTACCGTCACGTTATTATCAGTCATAAATACGATGTAATCAAATTGTTTAATAACGCAGCCGTTGGTACGTCGAATGAATTGTGCAATTTTATCGTCAAAAGGTTATAACCCGGCGCGTAATACAGGAAGGGAGGAAACGCAGTTACGTTTCCATCCTCTCTGCAAAATTATTTTCACGCCTCGTTCGTTCTCGCGAAAAATCGGGACGCCAAGTATTTTCCACCGTATCTTGCTGCCGGATACCGGAGGCAATTAAACGTTCCCCGTCAGCCAGCCAGCACCGTATCTACGTTTCACATTATTATTGTGTGTTATCGTTGGTATTGTGTAATCACGTGTAAATGCAGCCGTGCAGCCGCAGCAGCCGCCGCAGCCATCGCAATCGCGTGGAATTCGAAAAAAGTAACGTGGGAACGAATTAGCTAGGGTTGTGAATTATTTCGTTAACGTCCAAACTAAGAATATCTTTCTCTCTTTGTCTTTGTCTTTCCATTCGTCTCAACGACGAATTCATTTTCATCGTTATCTTCAAACGGAGCCGATAGATCTTTGAGTCTATCTCGCTGGGAGAACTCGTTTTTTTTTCAATTAACGCATAATACATTGTCGATCCATGGGATGTGTCGATACGAGGACACGTGCACAGTCGCTGCATACTGGGTGGGAGGGAAGATAGAAACGACACAGACTCGCGATTGAACTTTTGTCTGGATTTGTGATACGTTTCGATGTTGAACGGGAGTCAGAAAAGAAAATTAAAGAAAAAAAACAGAGAAAAGGCGATTAGATCCGGGGATAATCGTAAAGCGAAACGCATCAGCAGCAGCAGCAGCAGCAGCAACAGCCGCAGCCGCAAACCGCCCAGCCAGCAACGCGACGCACCAACGCACTTGAGCACCAACGCACAATATGATAGCGTTATCACCCATGGTCACATCGTAACCACTTTATCTAGTTGTCTGTCTCACAGGCGCACCATCTCTGAAATCGCACCACTCTCCCGATCTTCCAGCTCGACGAGATACCGCGATCCTTCGATCAATCGGGAATGTCTGCATAATCGGGGGAAACCGTTACGCTTCGATAATTTCGCTTGCCATTTGGAATTTGAACGCGTGTTGAGAAAGATAACGAGAAAGAGATACGTACACCTGTTGTAACATATAATTGTAATATATGTCTTTGATACTGCGCGTAGAATCCCGTAGGTATTTTACAGGGATTCGTATTTGTGTGAATACAATTAAAGAACGAGGGCGACTGTATTATGACATTCCGTGCGTTCTACACCTTTGAATTTTCCGGGAATATTAATATTCTCTGGATCCTTTGTAGTTGTCCATAACAACCTTGCAATCTCCCTGACGTTAATAGGATTAAAAATTTCGCCATTTCCAAGGCAACGTTCTTCCAAGACTTCTTCTTCAGTTCCTTTCTAGGAAGTAAATTAATACGTTGAACAAATTGAAAATCCCTTTCTGCCGCGAAAACGACTCGAAGCGACGAGGCACGATCTTACTGTCGATTACTTCCGATCAATTCGACGAAATTCGAAATGGGTGTATGTAGACTCTCGTTGCATTTTCTTGAAGAATGTATGTCTCTTTCGATCAAGTAAATTCTCGAGAGTGTGGAGAAATGAGGAGATAAACAAAAAAAAAAAAAAAAAAGAGAAAAAGGAAAAAGAGAATATTCGAAAGGTAAAGTGAATTCGAGTGGCAAAGAAATATGTAACGTAACGGGTACATCATGCAGTTCGACGACACGGAAACAGCGATCGCGGTACTCTCCGAAGGAAAGGGATTCTGCATGAAAGGGCACCAGCCACTTTTGCGAAATTCGGCTTCGGCGTAGCATCACTTCGTCTTGAATTTGTACGAGTACCAGCAGCAGCCTCGAAGTACAAATTCGGAATGCCGACTCTCGGCTCGTTCACTTGATCAGCACACGCATATATGCACCGACACGTTTCTGTTTCTTTCTTTTATCTTCTCCCTCTTTCTTTTTCTCCTCTTTCCTTTTTTTCGGTTTCGTTTCCTTCACCATTTCGTTTCAGCCGATAATGGAACACTTGGCACCAATTCCTAACGCGCGACACCCGAACCTTATTGTTTCCCTCGGAAAATGCTTCCGAACCCCGTTCCCCCGAGGCCATTTAATCGACAGCCATGTATAAATCTCACCGATTCGACGGCGTTACGCGGCGAACAATTGATTCGAACGGCTATCGCGTAGCTCTGGAACGTCTCGAAAGAACGAGTTGCACGTTCTTTGGGGAACGACAGAACGCGTATGGTGCGAAGCCGTGAATCGTTCGCTACGGCAACACTGTCGAGATATTCTCGAATAATAATTGGCCGGCATCGATATTCGAACGCAAAACGCACAAAAGGCCTCGGTCCCCTCACGTTTATGTGCACGCAAAATGCACAATCACCGCATTGTTCTTGAATCGAAATGTCCGCACAGCGCACTGAAATCTGCATTGCTCTCTCTCTCTCTCTCTTTCTCTCTCTCTCTCTCTCTCTCTCTCTCTCTCTTTCACCCCCTTAACGATGTTTACCGATGTTTTCACCGTTATTTATAGGTCTGTACTGTCACCAGGAAAATTGTCGACTATATCGCACCTATTCGTTTTGTCCAACGAATCGCACTTTCTCACCTCTCGTTTGTCACTCTTTTTTGATTAAATCGCGTGTACCTTTCTCAACTCCTCTCTCTCTATCTGTCTATCTATCTGTTCCTGTATTTGCCTGTATTATTACAGCGATCGACAAAGGGGAAGAGACGAGCATACGTCACAGCGGAGGATCGATACGATCCGCAAAAATAACGCACGCAGGCAGCTGCAACGTATACGTATTTTTGTTCATTTCCCTCGGTCGAGCGCGAGCGCGCGCGCACCCTTCAAATTACAATCTTTTGTTTCACTTTTGCGCTGAAGTAGGAAGTTGCAGTAGGCCAAAAGTTCGCTCTTGCCTCGGCGCAATAAGCTTAGATACGAACGCGGTGGCATCTGAAATGTTTCGTCATTTGTCCTCGTTGCCCGCGGTCTCTCGCGAGAAACGAAAGGGCGAAACAAAAAAAAAAAAAAAGGAAATCGAACGGAACGACGAGCAGACAGCTACGTATTTACCTGTTGAAAAACATTGGTTCGCGAGTGATCGACGAATTCGGCGCGCGAATTTCCTTTCGAGATAACCAAGCGTCGCCCCGCTCGTCGCCGCCACCGAACGCGCGACTAACTAACAAGCCCGACCGCGATAATTGCTGGGAAAAACGAGGGAAACGAGAGGACGCGGCTGTCAGCCGGCGGAGATCCATTAAAAGTCGGCGAGAGATCTGCAAGTAAAATGGCGCGGCGAGGCGAGGGACGGTAACGATGAAATTTCAGATGCCACGGTCGTCGACGGTGCACGAAATCCGCACACCGACGGCGGCTAACTAACGGCAACGGTGTGTGTTGTGCCGCGAAACAGTGCCACCCCGTTGGGTGATGGAGCCGCAGGACGTCCGTGCCTCGGAAGGGATGTCGCGGCTGGTTCTCCATTGTCACGCGGATGGATTTCCGCCGCCGGCGGTGTCGTGGCGGCGCGCTAGCGGCAAGAAACCGGGCAATTATCGCGACATCGTCACGCACGAGCACACTCAGAACCTAAGGATACACTCGAACGGCTCGTTGGTGTTTGGTCGAGTGCAAGAGGACCACGAGGGCTTTTATTTGTGCGAGGCGGTGAATGGGATCGGCGCTGGCCTCAGCAAAGTCGTCCATCTGACTGTGAACGGTGAGACGTCGCTGTATTTCGTCCTTCTAAGGGCGAAAATATTTCTTCGTTTCTCTAGAACGATTTATCTTTTTCTTTTTTTTTTTCTCTCTCTCTCTCTTTTCGTTTGATGTAAATTAATAAAATTTCGTTCGTTAGAAAGAATTTATTTCGCATTGACGAATGAAAAGTGGAAAGTCCCACTTTATCCAAGCATGTTCGAGGCAAAGAGTCTTCGAACGAAAGAAGGAAGGAAATGAAAGTCGCTCTGTTCTCGATGATGACACGCGCAGTACCGGCCCATTTCGTGGAGAAACATCGGAATCAAACGGCGAGGCTTGGCTCGAGCGCGTCGTTGCGTTGCGAGGCAAAGGGCGATCATCCGTTGAAAATAATTTGGAAGAAGATGGGCGCACACCTGGAGCAGAAACTGTCCGACTATCGGTACACGTTGAAGGAGGAGAACACCACCGACGGCAGCGTCAGCACCCTCGAGTTCATAAGCACGAGTCGAGAGGACAGCGCGAGGTACTTCTGCATAGCCTCGAACGCTTACGGCCGCGACGAAATGACGATTCACCTGTACATACAAGGTAAGAACGCTCGCCGGAAATCGTATTTCACGCCGGCGAATGGAAACGCCAGAAACGAGAGAGTACAATCGGCGCGTGATCTCTCGTTCGGCGCTGAGTTATTAACAACGTCCGCGGTATATCCGCGTAATGACGCGGAGTAAATCAGGGAAAAATCGGGTGGCAAAGGGAAACAGGAGGAACGGAAATTCCGCACTCCGGCGGAACAGAGATTTAAAGGCCGTTTCTCACGTGCACGATAAACCGCAGTAACGACGTTATCGGCGTAATACCATCGACGAAACAATTTCAATAATGTTTTCCGGTTTTCTTGGTATTTTCTGCGTGTATAACGTTGTCGCGCTTCGCGTAATTATCGTAATTACATAGGCGCGTTTCGCGACTCGTCCATTTAACTTAATGCATTCTCGCCGCCAAGTGCCGGCACGCCGAATGAAATATGTTCCGGTCGAACGGTTAGCGTCGTAAAATCCTACTCGTTCAGACGTTTCCATTTGTCGCGGCACACCGTATTTGCTCCATAACGATCGAGCGACGTCTGTTTTGCGACTGCAAAGAGCCACCTGACTTCCCGCGGAATCTTCACGTGATCGACAAAGGAAGTCGTTACATCAATATCAGCTGGACGACCAGCCAGGACGGCAACAGCCCGATCACGCAGTACATCATCGAGTACAAAACCGACACTGGTAATTTGATTGATCTTAATTCGCAACTGTTGAGAAATTCAGTCGGAAGATGGGAGAACCTCGTATCACACACACGGCCTATCGCACAAATGAGAAAGCAAAACTTTGATGAGATAGCGTTCAAAAAAAAACAAAGCCGATCGTTCAACAGGTGCTTCGATCTTCTCTTTTCTAGCGCACGCAATTTATTTTACAGAGGTGTGGCACGATCACACGTTTCACATGACGGTGCCGGGCAGCCAGGCACACGCTCACGTGAGCGGTCTGCGTCCGGCGGTCTCCTATCAGTTCCGAATATACGCGGAGAACGAATTGGGTCGTAGTCAGGCGAGCGACGTGAGTATATCGAAGCTTAATATGCAACACCGATCGCGCCTTACACGACCAGCCTTCCGTACGACCCTTGCGCATCCTCCTGCTCCTCCAACACCTTCGTCATCCGAATGTCGATTCACACAGTCAGGATCGATCCTCTGCGTTCTAGCCTCGAGGCGACACCGGCGCATCGAACTGCAATTTTCTTGCTCGGTGAATTCCACTCTGCTGCTGCGCTCTCGTAATCGTCGTCGTCGGCGTGATTAAAATTCCGCGACGTTTGCCCCTTATCGCGAAGTGAGAGGTTTCTCGCAAAAAAAAAAAAGAAAAAGAAAAATGAAGAAGAAGAAGACGAAAGAACGGGTGACGCGTTGCGAGAAGAGAGCGTAGAAACGTTATCCGCGACGTGTCTTGAAAGATCACCGCGAGAAAGTGCGCCACGCTACGGTTCCATCTTTTTTCAGATTTTGGAAACGACGACCGAAGGGGAGAAGCCAGGCGGGCCGCCGAGAAACCTCAAGGTAGATCCCGTCAGCTCGACCGAGTTTAACGTCACCTGGGACCCACCTGATCATGATTTATGGAACGGAGAGATACTCGGTTATCACATCGGCTACAAGGAACATAGGTAACGACCCCCCCTCCCCGTCGGTGGGGGGAACCGAGCACCCTTTAACGACCATACATACGTTCACCTTACGATACCCTCGAACACGTTCCGTTAGGCAGCGACGCTCGGCATACCGTATTTGCGCTCGAGCGCGTGTTTCTCGGATAACGTTGACACTCTACACTTGGCAAGCGCGTCCTCTGATAAATAACCGCAGCTGGCAACCACGTTTTTTTTTTTTTTTCGTTTATCTCGCTCCCCCATTGACGTTGAAATATTTTCGTAACGCGTTACACCGTCACGCTGTGCGTGTCGGCCAAACACAGTTCCACGTCGTTTACCGACATCACGCTGCTGTTCATCGACTTGTTGTTTCAACGACAGAAGTGGTTACTCCTCGCGAAAGTTAAATTTGCGCAAACACAGTTGTCGGGATGGATCGCCGTTTTAGGTTTTTAGTTTGTGTTCCAATCTGACGAAACTTTTAACGTTAATCTCGATTGAGTTGTACGATGTAGTGGAATAATAAAAGAATTGAATTGCCGAACAGCGACGAATAGCGACAGAATAGAAAAACAACGTTCAGGAATTATTACAGTTGATGAAAATATGGAACAAAGAGAAAAAAACTTTACTGGTCTCGTTACACGAAATAGATACACAAAGCACGTTACAATGTTTGACAAATGAAATCAATCATCTACCGATCGTCTGTATCGTCTGTTCTATTTTCTAATTTGGCGTACTCGTTCCTTTCTCCTGTTAAATCACGCTGTCCACGCTGATAATACAATGTTGGAAAATGTTCAGGATGGGATCGGATCAGTACACGTACAGAACGGTGGAGAGGCGAATTTCAACAGCGAGCGTAGCCTTAGGACTGGCGCGGACGTCGATGCCCGGCAGACAGTATCAGCTGACAAATCTGAAGAAGTTTACACGTTACAGCGTGGTGGTGCAAGCGTACAACGTGCTGGGCCAAGGTCCGATGACGCCGGAAGTGGTGGCGACGACTCTCGAGGACGGTAAGGGAAAGCTTGATCGTTATAGATGTGCGTCCTTGCTTTTTCTTTCCTTCTCTCTCTCTCTCCCTTCAGATTTTGCGAAACCATCAAACGCCAAAAGAGATAAGATACGAACCGTTAAAACAGGGCAGAGATTGAACGAACGCGATTCGACGACGTTCAAAGATTCATGAATAATACCTGTGGTTGGCGAGCCTATCATAAATTCCGCCATGAATACCAACCGCGGTGTACATCCGGCCGAGTTCCGTATAAATAATAAATTCAGCAACCGGGTTGCCTGGAACTGATCTGCTTGCAAATAAGTTCTTTAATCCAGTGCATCGCGAACGCGGCCCGGTTAAACTCCGAAGTGGCTTCGCCCCGCGGCAACAACTTTTGCTTAGCAGACTGGCGTCTCTCATGGACATTCTGACGATATTCCCGCGGAAAGCGAAACCCGGCTGGCCGTGTTAAAGCCGCACGCTGGAAACGTTGGAAATCTTGGAGGTGAATTTGAAAATAGTTCCGCAGACCGGGCCCGGAGCCCCTGTCGTTTTTCCACGGTTTGTGAAAAATTCAGTTGAAAGTTAAATATTGGTCTTTGGCCGCCCCCGGGCTACCGATGAATAAAACACATTATTTCACTAGCTCTTGAACGCAAATGTTTGGAAATAGTTGAAACGCGTGACTGGATTGCGGTAGTTTAAAGAACGATCTTGAAGTGTGGCCGATGATTAGATTTCATTCTGAAGAGAGATTTGTGGGATTGAAATAACGTCGAACGTCGTTTCGGGTGGGTAATCTAGGAAAATTCGAAGAACAAAAATATACTGATCGATAAAAACTTGGTTAACACCATATTTAAAACGATACAGTTAAGCTTCATCGGTCCTTTCACATTCCGTGGATGTGACCAAGCAGAAAATGTATCATTCAAAGCCTCGTCATTATCTGTTGAAAGTTACAACAAAAATACGAAAATTCCTCGCGAAACTCGTTTTTAATCTTGTTCCATCTCAATGCCAGCCAATGTGATGTCTGCTCGACATTTTCAAGGTAAATTCCGGTAGCGTAAAATTGGAGATGACATCTTCCATTTAACGTTTTAATGGATCTTCTAAATGACTCGCATCTGCGTGTACACTCGTGTTGAAACACCGACAAAGTTTGGCTGTCAATCTTCAGAACACTCCGTATCTGACTGTAACCGTATCCAACTAAAAGTCATCGTCATCGCTCCTCTCCGCGAGTCTCAACGAGCAAGAACGCGCGAAACGCGTCGTTCTGACGGGATTAGCATTCCTTACGAGGATTAACTCGCGACAGGTCAAGCGTAATTGACTGGCGACACCTTTGAAATGTCCTCAGTGCCTAGCAGTCCGCCGCAAGACATCCGATGCACGGCGCTGTCCTCGCAATCACTGCAGGTCTCGTGGGACGCGCCGCTCGACTCCACTCTGAACGGCGTTCTGAAAGGCTACAAGGTCATATGGGAGAACATGAACGCGCTGACCGAGTCGCCCAAGTCGGAAATGAAGATCACCAGTGCCTTGACTGTCGTGATTCACGGCCTGGAGAAGTACACGAATTACTCTGTGCAAGTGTTGGCTTCGACCAGGGCCGGCGACGGGATCGCCTCCTCACCTTTGTATTGCGTCACCGAGGAGGACCTGCCGGAGGTGCCGGCGGGCGTGAAGGCGGTCGTCAGGTCGGCGACATCAATTATCGTATCCTGGCAGCCGCCACTCAGGAGCAACGGCAACATCACGTCGTACAACATTCATATCCGCTGGGTTGGCCCGGAGGGAAAATGGTACAAGCGGTCATTGCCTCCGTATCAGACCAGCTATCAGGTGGAGAATCTGCATAAGAAAAATCAGTACGAGTTCAGCATCGCGGCGGTGACGTCGGTGGGCGAAGGACCCCAAACTCAACCCATCACTGTTTCACTTTCGAACGAAGGTTAGTTTCCGCTTCCGTCTCGCGATAATCTTATCTTATCTTACGTAACGATAACGATTCGTTGTATTCTTTCAGTTATTTCTGAAAGATATTTCAGATAATTTTACAACACAGAACGAGTGATATTATGTTTGATATTGTTAGCGGACTGATATAACCAAATTTTTTTTTTACATGTCTCTGCGAATAGAGTGGATTCAGTTTAGGATCTTTTACAAGTGCAATATTACAAGGTATTGAGACAATTGCTTTGATCCGTTGCAGTTCGAGCAGCGATATACTCGTTTGGCACGGTGCTGGTTGTTCCATGGAAACAGAACGTGACGTTACCATGTCAAAGCGTCGGGAACCCCGAACCATCGGTGACATGGAAACAATGGGGCCAGATAGTGAAATCGTCCAGTAGAGTGTCCCTGCTACCGGAAGGCTCGCTGCAGATCATGGACCTTCATCGGGAGGACAGCGGAAATTACACTTGCTACGTGAAGAATCGTCACGGATCCGATCAGATCACGCATCGTTTAACCGTGCAAGGTAGACAATTTTCGATTTCAAACTGTTCTTCTAAAAATTCGTCGAGTTTTTAAATGATCAAAAAGATTGTGAATTCTGTGTCTCGAATTAACTCTTCAGTTTGTTTTGTCGATATATTTCTTTTCTCTTGTTTTAATCTTTTTTTCCTTTTTTTTTTTTTTTT